TATTTCGGAGCCAACTGCATGGACAAAAAATTCAATAAACTTGGCCTTGGCCCAAATCTGCCCTGTAAATCAAACTGCAAAATGAGAATCACGAAAACAATACATGTATTATTTATGATCACCAAACAGCCAGTACACGCAACAAAACTATACACGTGACACGACATGAGACACACTGAGCATTACAACGTACAGAACCATCAGCTGATGAGGAAAGAGCACAAAAATAAACACGTCACACGACATGAGACACACTGAGCATTACTACGTACAGAACCATCAGCTGATGAGGAAAGAGCACAAAAATAAACCTTTTTGAAAATAGTACTTGTAATACATGTAGCAGTCAGCACATTTGCCACGAGCAGCTAGAGATAATATAATACATGTGCCAGGTACCAGTTCTGTTTTAATTTAGTTTTAGTAAGAGTTTTACAGCACTTGCAACACAATACGGTCATATAGGTGCCGAAGATTAGAGGTGTTACAAGAGAGTAACAAATTAAAAAATAGAAGGTGGAGAGATAATGACGATAAAGATGTTTGATACGAAAGAAGGAGTAAACCACACCAGAGCACCCGCCAATCACCCACTGTTTCAGATTCGGCACCTTATGATGAACTTTGGTGGAGAGAACACATGATAATATTCCGGAGCCAACAGCATGGACAACAATTCAATAAACTTGGCCTTGGCATTAACAAATCTGCCCTGTAGTGTAAATCAAACTGCAAAATGAGAATCACGATAACAATATTATGGTCACTAAACAGCCGGTACACACAACAAAACTAAACACATCACACGACATGATACCACTATGATACACACTCAGCATTACAACGTACAGCACCACCAGCTGATGAGGAAAGAGCACAAAAATAAACCTTTTAGAAAATACATAGTAGTACCAGCTGCACATTTGCCACGAGTTGCTAGAGATAAAAAAGATAAAATACTGGCGTGGTCTGATAAAACACATCATTTTCATTTTGGCAGGAAATATCTTATTCCACTAATGAATTCTACATGTCCAAAGAAATCTTGAGATATCAATGAAAGCCTAACTGTGACTAGTTTTTGAATAAACTAGCCTTTTAGATTTGATAAAACGCATCTATTTTCCAATGTGATCTGATGAAACACATTTTTTTTTTTGCGTATTGACATTTATACATGTGCCAGGTACCAGTTCTGTAGCCAGGACAG